CGGGAGGCGCCTGGGGGGATGTGGGGGGGGGGGGGCAATGAGAGAGGGGAGATAGGAGATGAAGAGGGCATTTGAAAAACCTTAATGTGAAATACCTTCCTTTTTTGTTCATGAGTTCTCAGCATAGCTTGCAGGCCTTTGTAAGCTTGCAAATGAAATCCTGAATAACTGTCACAAAACTATTCTTCTGTCACAGAAAATAAAATGTCAAGAAACTAAAGCTGACAACGTTGAAAGACAAATATGTTTAAAATTCCTCGGTTTCTGTGTCGGTGGTTGTTCTGTGCTGTTTGTGACAGAGATTCTCAACAGAAAAGAACATTCATGCATTTTCATATGTCAAAAGGTCTCCACAATCACTTCAGTACTTCTTTCTCAGTGTTCAGCTAATTTTAAACATTTCTCCCCTCTTAAATTCTCACGTAGTTTAACAGTGGTTTTAGACCTCTTCAGAGCACTTAAAAATACAAACTGCCGTGGGCTCAGTGTAAATCTTTCAAAGATGAATACGCATTTTGTGCATTACAAGTAATACCTGCTTTTTTTCTATAACAGTGATAAGCACGAACAATTACTGATGGCTGTTATATCCCATTTCAGATCAAAATTCAGACATTTTAGGCGAGTCAAAACAACTGTACCCTTACCGGAAACCACCCGTCCGACGCCCAGCGTTGCTCACCTGTAAGCTGCCTTGCCGGGATGCACACACACACCCCTTCGCCACCGAAAATACACTCACACCAAACTCTGGCCCCGCACCCGGGATGGGATGGGTCCGCACCCGCCCTCCGGCCACCGCCTGCTGCCGGCAGGCCCCCCCGCGGGGCGGGGGGGCCCGGGGGGGGAGCCCCGCCGGGGGGGAGCCTCTCGGCCCGGGACGGGGCCCGGGACGGGGCTGTGCCTGGGGAAGCGCCTGGGCTGCCACACAGCCGTGCCCACGGTCTTTTACCTTACCGTTGGCTGAGCTTGGGGGATCTATTTTATTCTGTTTTTTTTGTTTTGTTTTGTTTTGTTTTTTTGTTTTTTTACTTTTTTGGTGTCTTTTCGTCTCAGACATGCTTACAGAAGAGGGCAAAATCAGCAGGATGGCTGTTGCTATGCAAACTGCCCAAACGTTTTTCCCATTCAGTGCCTGACTTAACTTGTCATCCTTACAAAGCCGTATGAGTATTTTGGTCGTACTTTCTGGATTTCGTGATACCTTGTTCAGAAATAAAATCGGTCAGTCCAAGAAATTAGTCTTTTTTTGTTGTTGCTGTTGTTTAAATCCACTAGAAAAGTATGGATGTGACCATGTAATTTCAGATGGGCTGGTGTAATTCTTGCATTAGTTAACTAATTAGCTGTACAGGCTGAGCAGGGGCCTGTAAAAGGCATGCTGCAATGCAATGTACGTGTGTAAAACGTGGCAAAACTCTTCTAAAACGTTGTTATATTTATTCCCCATGTTTAAGGCAGGGCAATGAAAGAATACTGCGCTGAGACCATATCCTTCTCATTTAGCTCCAGTTTTATTCCTAAGATTTCCACTACACCCACTTCACCAGCTGAATATTTTTTGTCATGTTGACACTACAAATTAAGCTAAACATAAATTTTTCTGAGATACGAGAGCTCTATTTCTGTAGGACTGCGCACGAATGATGTGCAATGTTTATAGCTGGTAGCGTATGCGTATCAGTACGCTCAATGTGTTGTTGATAGCTCACACGTATGAAAATGATTGACAAACCAGAGCAGGTAACAGTGAGAGCTCTGTGCCTGCGAATGGGAGCCGCGTTAGATGCTCTCATCAGACCCGGGAGGGACCTCACTGATCCTGACGGAGCGGGAGGTACACCCGCATCCCCACATCTGGCTGTCGCGGTGGATTCCCAGTCTGACTGACGCCCTTCAGGAGCCCCAGACGCTGAACGCAAACTGAAATGTGTTTATGCTGTGATGGCGTGATGCTGTTTCTCCCTCAAAGACCCTAGCTGTCATTTCTGTGCAGGTACCACCAGCGTGGGGAACAGCGCGGCCGCCTGTGCAGGTTTCAGCGGCTGCGTAGCATTTTTCATGACGTCGTCTTTTTTTGTAGGAAGCTGCCAAGTGGGGCTTTTCAGTTCCTAGAGCCTGCAGCGGCGTGCGTGCGGTTGGGCTCTCCCTGACACTGCTCACGTGGGGAATGAGGAAGGTCAGCCCGGGGCAAGGCTCCTGCTTGCCTGGGGTCTTGCTGGCTCTTCAGCAGGGTTTTGTCTTGCTTATCCTGGGTGACAGATCAGCACTGGTTCAGTGACACAGGACCTGAGGCTCATTACTACAAGGACATCCAGGTGCTGGAGCGTGTCCAGAGAAGGGCAACGAAGCTGGTGAAGGGTCTGGAGCACAAGTCTTATGAGGAGCGGCTGAGGGAGCTGGGGTTGTTTAGTCTGGAGAAGAGGAGGCTGAGGGGAGACCTTATTGCTCTGTACAACTGCCTGAATGGAGGTTGTAGCGAGGTGGGGGGTCAGTCTCTTCTCCCAAGTAACAAGTGATAGGACAAGAGGAAATGGCCTCAAGTTGCGCCAGGGGAAGTTTAGGTTGGATATTAGGAAAAACTAGGTAGACGTGGTGCTTAGGGACATGGTTTAGTGGTGGACTTGCCAGTGCTGGGTTAACGGTTGGACTCGATGATCTTAAGGGGCTTTTCCAACCTTAACGATTCTATGATTCTATTTGATGATTATATCCCTGCTCTCTATCTGGCTCTCACCAACCTACCCAATGATCTTTTCTCCACGCTTCACTCTTTTCTATGGATATCACGTCTTGTATCAAAACCGTCTCTTGGGGGGTGCTCATGTTGTGCCGGGGTTACTTGCAAAGGTACCAGGTGCTGTCTGACAGGCAACTGTAGCATCTTGATCTTAACAAGCTTCCTCTGAGGAAGTTAAGCTTAAGGTGACTTCTCTTGGAAGACATCACTCCAAATACAATGACGTCATCGGATGTTTCAACAGAACCTCATCTCAATAATTCATGTCTACTTGTAATTACTGCTGCTGATTGATAAAAGGTGATCATAAAGGTGGGTAGAGCTGAAACTGTGCTGTGTAAATGGGACTGAACTTTGTTCAGTAAGAAACAAAGAGTGGTGAAGCCTAAATCCCCACCCAGCACGCAGAAGGGGGCCGTACAGAGCACCCTGGGGGCACTTGGTCTGGCCCCCTGAGCTACTGCAGGATCACACACACCTTGGCCATTCTTGACAAATATTTTCAACTTATTTTTAATAAATTCCAGTGACAGAGTTTAGATAGCTTCTCTAGTCAGGCTGTTTTAATGTTTAACCATTTCTAGCTCTTTTTTTCTCCAAACAGCTCATCAGAACAGCCCTCCCTGAAAACCAAAGACATTTCTTTTCCTGCTCGCAGTGGCAGCATTTGCTGTGCTCTCATGTCAGCCTTGTTCATAGTTGAGGACCTGTCAAGGTTGCTCTGAAACAAACCTAATATGATTCACAAGTCACTCATATTATTGTCCTCCAAATCCCCTCTTCTGTTGACATCCCTCTTAAAACACAAAAGCCACAAAGCAGAGACAATACCCTGAGGATTCACTAATGTTCAGAAGAATAAAATAATTGCCTCTTGTGTCTTGCATAGAACACCCCTTTAAATCACCCTAGCATGCCACTTGTTTCCTTCGTCACCACATCACACTGCTGATTCATACTCTGCTTCTGGTTCTCCAAAATCTCCAGGTGCGTGGGGCTTTTTTTTTTTCTGCAGAACTGCAGCGTGGACAGTTTGTTGTTCACCTTTTTAATATTTTTCCCTTGCCCTTTTATTTTGACCTTTAACTAATCCATGATGAATTTCACCTGATTGATTTCAGATCGTTTCTCCAGCTAATCAAGACTACTTTGAATTTGACCTTATCCTCAGAAGTGCTGATGGCTCTCCCAAGATGCATTTTCTCATGTTTAATAAGAAAAAAAGCGTTTAAAAAGAAAAAAGCCTACTCCTGCATTCAAATTACTTATTTAAAAAGTACCAAACAGTACTACATTAGATTCTTGCAGACCTTATTTGATCAGCTTTCCCACTTTTTAATTTTTGGGATCTACTGCTGAGTTTGATGTTAGCCAGCTGTGAACCTAACTTACAGTGATTTTATCTAGACTCTATTTCCATAGCTTGCTTAAAATAGGCCATTGCCCAAGTGCATTCAAAGTCTGGATGTCCCCACTGATTTTTTCCTTACCAACTAGCCTAGTTATTCTGACAAAGGCAGCAGATGATTATTTTCATGTAATTTGTTGGCAAATTCACAGTGGCAGTCTCTTACCTCTCCAGTGACCATTAGGACCTTGTATTTACAAAAATAATTCCTGTTTTTGCTCATCAGGATAGTGGTACCTCTCCTGCCTTTGTAAACACTTGGAGATAAAAGGAAGGTTCAGAAGCTGACCAGGCCCCTGCCCTCAATAGTCTTGTGTAAATCTCATGAGGCTGCGTTGACCTGACTACATCCAATAAATAAGCTTGAACCTGTTGGCATTCCAGCCTTCCTTCTCCCTTTCACTCCCCAATGCCTCTTCGATGTTAATACCACCTAACTCATTCAGTGTGATCGAAAAAGAGATTTTTTTCCATTGTTAGCTGGCCAACCTTGCCTGTGGCAAACCTCATTTGATTCCTGCTACCGTAATGCAGGTGCATTAGCATAACTAAGACAGAGTAACTGAGTATGACCACATTGTTAAATGTGCCCGTTTTGGACTTAAATTAGCTCAGATCTGTACCAACACAGGTAGATTGTTTATTGTAAATCAAGGCAGGAAGGCGTTAGGGGTCTTTTGCCTTCTTTCTTTCTAACTCATCAGAACAAAGGTTCACTCACACACAAATAATAAAAAACTGGCAAAAGTAAAAGTTTGGCTTTTAACAAACAAGTCAATGTTTTCTTTTTAAATAAGCATTTTAAGAAGACCAGATACAAAAAGGAGTACTAGGCTAGACATACTGACTTAGGACCTGATCACAGTCTGCTACTGGCTGGCTCACGCGCCACAGAATCACCTTGCAAGGGAGCATCCCCGCCTCCTGGCATTCAAGCTTTGCTCTGCGAGCTGGCACAGTCCTGGGGTTTCCTGGGTTATCTGGAAACCTGCCCCCCCTGCACTGGGTGTCTTTGGACAGTCCGTGATAGAAGTCGTTGCAAGGGATTACAGTAAGAAGTTTGTTTTTCCAATTTGTTTTTCCATTTCAGAGAGTATCACAAACTGCACTTGCAAAAGCCTAACACACACAAAGAAGTACATTTTAAAAGCTCGTGTCTTTAAAGAAAGCAGCATCCAGAGAACTGACAAAACACAATTTTCCTTAGCAATTTCTTTAAGCATTTTCTAGTAATTTGCTTAAACATTCAGTCACTAAAAAAAGCACACACACAAAACACATCCAGTTCACTGTAATTTTATTTTGCTATATTCTGTACAATGTACTGCATTCTGTCTAGACCTCTGGAAAGTGATCAGTTTATTTATTCTCTTCCCTGCTAAATGAGCCTTCATATGGATATATTTATTTTCTTTTCTTATGCAGCCGTTTTACATTACATTGCTAAGACGTGTTTTTTGTCGAAATTATTTCATCACTATCTGAACTCATTTTAGCAGGAATTATAATGACATGTGCTACAGTGTTTGAAGGTTTAACTATTAATTTGTTCCTTGCCTATTAAAAAAAAGAAAAAAAAAAAAAAAGGAAAAAATGCTACCATAGTGGTAAGTAGTATAAGGTTAGGCTTAATGTTCTATGAACACAAAAATATAAACCAGATAAAATATTCATAAATATGTACCTAATTCTAGTGTGGTAAGTAGTTTACAAAATGCATGTAGAGTGCTTAGCCATCAGAAAAGACGTATTTTTCATGTTCATTTTTACTAGCTTATTGCTACTGCTGAGTATTTCATTACAGATTCCAGAAAACATTTAGGTATGAGGTATAATGTCATTCTGAATTGTTACTATAGCAGCAACAACTGTGATCAATAAGCACACGTAAGTGCTGCTACAATTACATTTTTCCTTATGCAGAAGAGTTACTAGCTAAACCTTACCTTCTTCCAAAACTGCTTTGTGTTTTATCAGATCCCTGGAAAAATGTAAAATAGTATTTTTATGTTAACTTTTTTTTGCAAGCTTCAATTGCATCTCCTCTGTGTACACTGCAGATTCCAGTTCTCCACTCGCTGACGCACATCAACACATTTACCCGCAGAATCTAACTGCATAATGGAGATTTATTCAAGCAGTTTTCATCTTAAGCTATGCAAATCACACTATCCCTTTTCAGAGAACTGCTCTACTCACAGGTTTGGTCAGAGGGGTTTGTTTCAGTTTTTTTTTAATTTCTGACAGTGAACAGACACCAGATTCCTCTTCACTTGCACACATGTTCAATTAGTAGCCTATGCATCTTAAGAAATTTTAAACAGCAAGGAATGATAAGTACCAGATCCAAAAGCAAGAGATTAGAAGGCAGATCTTGAAAAGACGGGAGTCAATCACGTATAAAACAGGAATGCTGACAAAGTACTTGAATAAACTGCATCTACATTCAGACCAATACTAGTTGTTAACTTTTTGATTATATTTTAACCACTACAGCTTATCTAAGGTGGATGAATGTGTATTCACTGTAAACTTAAAATCCATCTTGATGGAAAGTTGGCTCCAGCACATTCCACTGGAGTTGGTATCCCACTACACTCAATTTTGTAATCCTTGCTGTAGTCTGTCCTTGGAAATTCCTGTTAAGTTCTAATGCTTAATATTCTGCATTTTTGCAACTAGCTAAATACTCCACACATGCAATTAGTACTTATGTACTATCCTTCCTACATATACTTAAGTGTTACAGCACTGTAACACATAAAAATCTAGATTTGTTGTGCTGGCTAGTTATATATAAAATGCTTTGGCTTTCTAATACAAAGCCGTAATTGTTCTGGCATCTTTGCTTTCAATAGCTTATATAAGACAGTAATTCTAACACTTGAAATACAGCATCATGTTACAAATGCAGAATGTTTTCATATCCTCAGTCATATTAAATCTAGGTTGTTTTTATTTACTTACTTTGACTAAGCCACTTGTCAATTGCATTCTCATATTTTTTTGGTTCCTTTAACCAGTCTTGATGCCACCTAAGGCTGGCAATAACATTTGAGTAATTCTGACCCAAACTTTGTTTCCAACTGATAAACTGTCTTTTGTTATACTCCTGAACGGAAGAAGAAACCTCTGGATAGTTTACTATAGAGCGGAGTGTTTTGTCCAAGGAACGTACAATTACTGGGAATTTTATGGCAACGTTTGTTAGCTCATCTGGATCGGCAGTAAGGTCTGGAACAAACAAAAAGTCAGTTAAGAGCCAGTTTGCACTTAGATGAATTAATGAGTCAGTTAGGACATAAAAGTTGTAACATACCAAACAGTTGTGGAAGTACTGAATGGCCATCTGAGTACGTGATATATTTCCATTTGCCAGTTCGAAGCATGTACATGGAAGAATTCACATTGCATCCGTGGAACTCACTCAACACCCACGACGGCCGAGGCGCTCTGGGTGACACTTCGTTTTCAGCCTTTCCATGTAGCAGTGGTATAAGAGAATACCCACTGAGGTTCCGCGGGACAGGAATTCTTGCTATATCTAAGCAAAAATAGACAAAGTCAAAATGCTACTGCAGTAACTGTGATTGAAAAAGCCTGACATAATGCTACAGGTGTCTGAACATAAATTCTATTTCAGTAATAGAACATGCATTCCTAATTATTCTCCTTGTAGAACACAGGAACCCCAAGATACACACATAATAAAAACAACCTTAAGGAACTTTCCAAGGTTTCCAAGCTGCCCACCATCTTGATCAGAAGCAGTACCAGCTATGTCTGTCTAAGTCAATCTTTAACAGATGTTTGTTAAAACCAATCGCGATAGCCTCCAGTGATGGGTGGTGCTTTTTTATTTTTTTTAATCATGGTTTTATACCCTTCTCTTCTGCTCTGACCACGTCAGGGAGGAGAAAGAGATTGTCATAGCATGAAAGGACTCTAAAAGCTCCATATCCAACATGGTCTAACCATTCATTTCTTTGATAATAACAGCACTAAGCTCCTATCTAGCGTTCTTCATCAGTGAATTACAAAACACATTACAAAAGGTGGCCATGGTGGTTATCACCTATAACTGGTGGGGAAACTGAAGAACAGGGCCACTTGCTTCTCTGGTAGGGATGGAGACAAAGATGACATCAGAGGTGGTATCAATACAGTGCACACATGGAAAACACTGGATGACTCTATAGCCTACTAGATGGCCCCTAGAAGATGCTGTAACTTGAATACGCTCCTCAGTATCAACTTACATCGCAAGTGTCTCTAGCTCCCAAAGATCAGGTCAATACTAAGATCTCTCAGAGACATTCTGAAAAACATAGCTGAGAATCCCAAGGATGTCAACTAAACTTTGGTGTGTCCTAAAAACAGGGTATGACAGTACTGCTTGTTTTAATCACCCTACTGATCACAATATACAGTCATTCAAAATTCAACACTTCCCATTTCACAGAGCATGGTGGTAGTATTTTATCTTCTGTTCTATGCTGAGTGGTGATATTCAGCGCATACAGATTGCCCATAGATGACTTCTTCCTTTATCAGCATGTATCTTCCTTTTTCTCCTCTGTTTCTACAGCATATATGCCTGTCATTAATCTGTCGTTCTTCCTCTAGTAAATAAAGAGGCCAGCATTTGACTAAGCACTAGGAAGACCTGTAACATGCAAACCCAGTAGCTTCCAGTGCGTGGGCTAAAAACTTGAGCAAATACATACTACATTTGAACAAATGAAAAAGGGATATAGGCCTTCCTCTTCTGTCATCCTAAACCAGTAATGCTATTGATTGCAGTAACTGCATTCTCCACATGCAAGGAATGCTCCAGGCTGGCACCTTCAGCAGCTCCTGCTTTTCCAACAGAGATCCAAAGGTACTTCCACCCAGACCAACAAAGCCAGTGCTGTCTGGAGGAAAGCTTATGCTACACCCTGTTAAAAATGGAAGAGCTGTTGCAGTTCTGGCTGAGTTATCCATATCGCATAGATTCTGCTGGAATCAAAACATCTCTACCACACTCGCTATAGGATGCATCTAATCTCAAAGTCAGTAAAGGAGGAAGTATTGAGCAAAGCATTTGGATGGCATCTTAAGAGAGATTATTGCCCTGAGACAATGCAAAGCAAAGGGATTACATTTATCACAAAAAAGACTTGAAATCTGTTTCCTCACTAGTCAGCAGTAGCATGCAGCCTGAAGAGATAATAGATGACAGAGATGATTCTTCATGTTTTCACATTCATCTTGATGTATGTGCCTTTTTTGACATTCAGATTACAGGAAAGGGGAACTGCCAGAACAGAAGGAAAGGACTTATAAACACAAAGTTCTGTGAAGAAAGAAAAGGAGGAAAAGAACGAGAAAGAGGGATGTTAAACCACCTGACCAATTATGTTATTTGGAGAAAAGGCACAAAGAAGAAAACCAGAGATTTTTAACTCTTTGCATATCATACCACAACTTGTGTAAGAACCATATCTAATACAGATTACTTCATATAAAAGATTTGATATCATAATTTGGAAGAGAAAGGTACTCAGATCCTGGATATAACTGGTTCAAAAGTTTTGAGAAGAGACAGGCAGATAAATATCTTTTGTTCTGTTTTTAGAAAATCAACATTAAACAATAAAGAAAAGGATTTTTCACAGGCTTTTACTGATAGAAGTACAGTTTTATCTACTGCCTCAGGTTCTCTCAGGCAATTGCAGTGTACACGTGACACTTCTTAAAGAGTGAGCTTTGAAGACTGCCTCAAAAAGAACATTTTTCTGATTGGTAGCCTAAAAGATCCCAGACAAAGCCTAGAACGGCGACTTGACCTAATGTTTAGTTCCAATGAGATTCATCTCTTGCATGCTTTATCACAGGCAACTGTTCAAAAATTCACTCTTAAAAGTAAGTTCCACCTGCATGTAAGTAATTTGATGTCAGTCCTTTTTATTTGATTCTCTGCCCCAGAATGAATATTTCCATATCCAAGAAGGTAAGAATGGATATCCATTATCGTTTCTTACTATGCTTGCCCAGATCAATTGTACATTTCCTATACGAAGTCTTTATCACGTTTCTTCCACATGACCCTTCATAAAGGACATTCCTTTGATAAGCTAATGAAGCTGCCATCCTTTCAGGTTTAATCTGATCTCTGGATGCATTTAGACCCTAATTTCTGTAGTAAACTGTTAGATATGAAGGCTAGCAAGGATTATTCATATCTAAAATGCATCTGATTCTCTTTTATCACCTTTTTTAAAATAACAAATAATCCTATATGTAGTCATTCACTGTAATTGTGTTGATGACAGTAAATAAGAAACATCATCAGCTCCTTTGTTTAATTTTTAGATCCATTTTTTGTGTGTTAAGTCCGTATGTATGCTCCACAGATAAATTGTTATCTTCTGTTGTGTTACTACATTGCCTCACAAAGTGCGGACATAATTCTCACTATAATACAAATGCATCATCATAATAGTAACTGGGAAAAAAAAAATTCATTTGAAATGACTTAACTCACCAAGCATAGTAGGATATATATCCACAAGAGATACCACATTTGGTACTTGCTGCCGTTCTTTTACACCTGGCCCCATAACTAAAAGAGGAACATGGGAACTTCCTTCATACATGCTCATTTTATAGAACTGCCTGTGTTCCATAGCAAGTTCTCCATGATCCGCAGTGAATATAACGATTGTTTTTTTAAGAAGCCCAGTATCTCTCAGAGCTGAAATAATCTCACCTGCAACAAGAAAAAGATACTGAAAAGGATACCTTCAAAATATTCCTTCCAACTTCCGTACCTGCAAGGCAGCCTGCAAACCCCGAGGAATCCTAGACGGAGGGTTGTAAACTCCTCTCTCTGCCACAGAAGGCAGAGCCCAAAGCGTTCAGCCCAGAACAACATACAGTCGTCAATATGTTGCAGGGGTGTGGCTCCCAGTGAAGTGTGGAGGGCACTGAACAGCAACCATGGAAAACTTCAAAAGGCAAGGATGCACCACAGGACAAGGTGCATTTTTGCTATCATCACTTTAATTTCTAGCATAACTAGTAATAGTTATTTCAACAGAAGTAAAATAGGCCAGTAGAAGCCCTGACACTACATTTAGGGTGAAGGACTCTTGACAGTATCCACCTCACACATGATCAGTGGCAGTCTCTCCTTCCTGTGCCTGTATCCCCACAGGAGCCCCTCGCACATACATTTGTGCAATGAAGACAGGGCCAAGATCTATGAAGTCGGTAATGAAGCAATGCGCTTATACATCTTCAATGTTAAAACACTAAGATGATTCTTGTTTAAACAGGCTAGTTAAAAACTTAAAATACATCACCAAATTAAACCCTAGTGCAGACACTTCGCAATACCTGAATTCCCTAAAACTGTCAAGCTCCTGTTGATCTCTTTTCTTTCATAAAATGTGGAAGAGTAATCTGTGTCTTTTAAGTCACTTTATCATTCTAACATTGCTAAAAAGATCAGCTTATTTATTAATGAATTTCATATTAGAATGCAAGGAAATTCTTGTTCTTTCATGGTCACTTTTCAAATTAAGAAATAAAATACTGTAAATGAAGACCAATTTGCATGATAATTTTTATATATGTAGACCTTACTGCAAAGTAGGAAGAATTCTGAATGCCTAATTAGGGTTTGGTGGGGTTTTTTTCCTTCTTCTTAACTTTCAATAATATGCTGCTAAGGGAGACTTCAAAGATAACCTTACTGTTTCGTCTGTGCGTAACAGCTGTCATCCAGTCTATGCATTTGAAATCAATCTCCAAGAAAACTGCTTATGCCCTAAAATTTATCTTTCCATCCAGCATTGCTTTGCTGGTCTGTCCCCTTCACAATTGTTTCCATTCTTTCAGTTAGCACTTCAAAGAGTGTTTAGTTCCTCTTGTACAAGGCTCAAGCAACGTTTTGCTGCAGTTACTGGGCTTTTACAGGGTCTCTGACTGGTGGTTGTCATTACTTTTCAGAGTGCTCTGAATTCACCTTGCAATAGCCTTAAAAGCTATCCCGTTATTTATCATATAGACTGATTAAGCAACATCCATGTGACTTACACCCAGATCTGAATTGTGTTTTTTTTTCCCCAGAAGACCAGCCCTATCAGCATTTTCTTAAAAAAATCAGAACAAGAAAACCCACTGTATAATGAAACATTACCTACCCAGCATGGCATCTGTCTCCGCACACATAGCATAATAAAATGCCCTAATATTTCTCACTTCTTGCTTTGTAAACTCTCCTGTGCAGTTCTTGGTGTAAGATGAGTAATAGTCTACTGGATGCATCTCTGAAAGAGAAGACCACTTGGGTATTTTAATAGCTTCATAAGTTACCTAAAAATAAGAGGAAATTAACATTACTTTAGCAACTGAATTAAACAAATTTTTCAAAAACAGATTTAATTTAAAACTTTTTAGCATAAATTCACAGTTCTCAACTTGTGGTCCAGGAAACACCAGCTGCTTATCGGTTACATGGTACTGCTACCTCCTCCATACTTCCCCTCTGCTTCCACAGGTATCAAGTCATGTTAAAAGAGCGCTATAAAAATCAGCTAGAAACTAAGGCTAGGAGCCAAAAATATGTGCTTTATCAGCTGATATCTTTTTTTTAAGAGAGATACCACAGAACAATCTTCTAGAACTGTACTCTAGGGTAAGTACAGAAGTATTGGCATAGTGTCTGTGGCGGTACACTCCCCCCGCTCCCCACCCGGCACCGACCTTTTCCCCTAACTCTGATCAAGTGATAACCACCAGTGGTGCCCATGGTGGGCGCACCTGGTTTTGATGGCTGCATCCGGCTAAAGGCTCAAGGTGGATTTGGGGGAGACAGATTACCACAGAACAGCCAAGGGCTAATTTATAGTAATGCACGCTCCTGACGACAGTGCTGGTCTGTGCCGATTCAAGCCAGATTTGGAAGAAACTGGCATCTGCAGTCAATATGCAAATATGACTATAAGTCAACCATCTTACCCCCATAAATAGTGAGCAGCCCAAGAGCCCTTTGAGCTCTCCTGCATGGCAGTGGGCTGCATGCTGGGATCTTCCCTTGAGTAGGGATGCCTCTCAAGGTTACTCCTCGAAGTTGAGAACACCCTCATTGCATCAGATACTTGGGAAGAGAACTGGGAACAAGTGCACTGAAACTTTGTAGTCTTAGCTAAGTAATATAAAGGATTGATTGTGCACATATACTCCTTTAGACATAAACCCTTGACCAAGTCTGGGACTAGGACTGGATCCAGCCACACCTAGACTCCTCTCTGAGAAGGAGTTTAGAAAGCAAGGGGATCCTTTCTGAACCTCACGACTCAATGGGAGGGTCTCCCTGACAGTCTTGTCTGATCCTGTCCCCTATGCAGTAAATAATTAAGGGTACCTTGCCATCGAATCTTGTTAAACCACTATTGCATTTACTATCAAACTTCATTATCAATAAACATATTGCTGCTTCTCTCTTATGAGTGAAGTGCACTCTCACTCTATCAACAACAGTGTCTCATTAACTATAGGATGACCAAAACCCATATGTATCAAGAAGACTGGGTGTTATGCGAGCCTACAGAACAACACAGAAGTCTGGTAAGGTCTCCAGGACAGTGGATGTCAAGTCTTCACATCTTGATAAAAAGAATTCATTACATTAGTCCATTTTTCTAATACATTTCTATTTGTTTCTACAGACGTCAATTCATTTAAGATCAGTTTGAAACTGAAAAGTAGACGCCAACCAATTACAAATAATGCTAGATTTGTATGTTCAAACTGGCATGCTCACAGATATTGTGTGCTGCAGTACCAGCTTTAGAGCCTCAAAGTTTGACATACACATTTAGCCTAGGCAGTTACACTTGTAAGCATTCCCTTAAGTAAGTGCTGCATTTAACAATTAATTACTTCTATACCGTAGACTTAAAGCACAAATTACCACAAAGCAGAGAAGATGTAACCTCAGTATGGAAAACTTAAATTTAAAACCACACCTGTTGTTCTCATTTACCTCTGAAAATCTTCTCTAACAAACAGAGCTGATGCCTAGATTATGCCACAGCAACTCCAGTGCCTGTGCAGCATGTTTCCAGGGCTGCAGCCACAGCTCCGCTACTGGGCTGTCCCCAACCATGGGCAGCACTGGTTCCCGATAAAATAACTGAGACACTTACTGTCCAAGGGGCTCCATGCAGCACAAAAGCAATCAGACCAAAGTTGTCCCTAGAAGCATTACATCCCTGTTTATTTGTGTAGTATCTGTCTCTTGAGCACATGGTATATCTTTGGCCACCAGTGCTGTGAGGGCCATGTGTTTCAATACCCACGGAGTGCCACCTCCCACAACAGTCAATATTCTTGTTATCTGGCAGATGTATTAAGTCTTCTAAAGAGTTGGTAAGACAGCAAGAGTTAAAGTGCCCATAGGGAAAAAACCGGGCTTTATAATAGTCAAACAGACATAACAAAGCCTAAGTTTCCTTAGGCCCCATAGAATATAGGCTGCAAGAAGAAATCATGGAAGATAAAATAATGGCAGACAACTGCTTCAGTCATCTTCCTGTTGCTGAAGGTCCCTGGCTACATAACATCACATTCTGACTCCTCAACTGGTATTTATTAGTTGCTTAAGACATAAGGGGAGCAAAAAGTTTCCCTCTCCATCCACAATTCATCAGGAGACTGAACACTTTTCTACAGGACTGCAACCTAGTTTTACAGATTCACAAAGTCATAATCCCTTTGTCTGTCTGTCTGTCATAATTCACAGCTAGGAAAGCAGCCACATGCCCTGAAAAAGTGCCAGCTTGTGCAAAATACAGGGGACCATCTGCTTAGCAACACGGGGTTTAATGAACGTACTATGTTGATACTCTGTTCTGTATTAGCTCCCCAGTAAACATACAATTTAATTCAAGTTCTTCATCTATGCACTCAAACTTCTTCATGAGATTGATCTCTTGTCATTTTCACAGACTGCTTCTTCCATGGCCAAAACACAGATACATTCCAGAAGAATGGTCAATAAACGGTAATGTGTCGTTCACAAAACTGAGTATGTACACATAATGGTGGAAAGGACCTCGGCAAACTATGAAGTTTAAGTATTCTAACTGGATTAAGGATGACAAAAATTTGTCAGAGATGTCTGTGACTTGAAAAAAGGTACCCCCACTTCCCAAGACATCTCTAACCTAGCAATTAGCACCTAGAAAGTTCTCCTTAATATCCAAGCCAGATCTTTGCTTTTTGCAAATGAAGGTTTTTCCCCCATGCTCTTCCTCTCCCCACAAACTTCCCACCATTCCTAGAAGAACCCACAACCCTCACTATTACAAAGAAATTCACATCTCTCAACCTTCATTTGTATATCCTTTTTTCTAAGTCTTAGTATTTTTGTCATGCCTAGATAAAGAGATTTTGCAGTTCCCCAGTAGAAAAGGCCAAGTGAGTTCTATAAATTGCATATGGGTTGTTTTTTTTTAAGTAAGCATAAAGACTTTTCGAATCTAATTCTCAGTTCTTCAGCTGCAGGGAATCTTAATGCCTTTATGCAGTGAAAGCTGTTGTAACACATTTGAATTTTTATGACCGATAATGGCACCTGGAGACCACACAAGACAGAAAAAAAAATATTTACTTCTTCTCTGCAATGGAGTGCAATCTGTTAGCTTTCCACAGACAGACATAATGGGACTTTTCTGCACTCTAAAAACATTGAAAAGGTACAGTAGCATGGAAACAAGTTAACAGAAAAGAGATTTCTGCTGTGTCTTACTACTTCATGTTCTAGGTTCATATTGTAGGAAAAGTCAATCTCTCACTATAAAACTCAGACAGAATGATTACATATAGCATTATTTATAACAAGCACAATACAGAATGTTATAAACAATAAACTTCAGACCATTACTGAAAAAAAATTACAGCTAAGTATAGCAACAATTTCATTCTCCATTTAATGTGTTTCTAGCCACTGAATTCCAAATTTCTTTATTGATTCAGAGACTACAGCTAACAAACCCTTTCCTACAACACAGAGAAATTCTTCACTTCTATTTGCTTAGCCTTAAATCAGAAGTCTAACATCTCATCCAAGTAGTTTCTTACTGTGTACTGAAATATCAAAACTGGGTCTGAATGGGAAAATCACACGATGAATAAACTACTGTTCAAAATAAGTAGAGTTATAAATAAAATTATATTTAAATTTCATTTTCACATACCTTTTCAAGCCAATAGGGAGATGTTAAAAACGTAGAGGATCCAAAATTTTCTCCCGCATAGGGTGATGGATATGGGTGTGGTAAATTTAGTCCCAAGTAAAGAACAAACGGTTGAGTAAGGTTAATGGCTTCTTCCTTTATCCAATTTACTGCTTTATCAGTATTCCGCCAGTCAGCTTCCATCACTCTCACATGCTTCTTATCTCCAGTAAGATTTACCATGGGTCTCCCTTCTTGCCGGAGCAGGAAGTCAACATCCCTCGTCCAGGCTTCCACACGGTTACTGAAAATATATACACAAGATACATACTCGGTGGAAAATGTTTTCTTCACTTTTCCTCCAAAACAAAAGAGTTAAGAATTCCTGAAGAACTTCCCCTATACTTGTAGCTGCAATCTATTTGTAATTTCTACATAAAGCATAATTGTTATTCAATGGTGCAAGCTATGGTGCATCTATTTTATACTTAAAGCTTTAGCCATTTTTTTCTGCTTCTGAATCTTCTTTCTTATTTATTATAACTTCATGTCAGAATGGTTCTTCTCATATCTACAAAATAATATTTAGAAATAGCATCTCCACCTTGTTGACCCTGCTCCCCAGTCTGGCATGGATTCACATACTATTTATCTGGTATACTATTTATCTGGTAAAGAGGGCCTTAGATTTTTGTTATTTGAAAAAGTCCTGTGGTTAAATAACTTGCCTGGAGAGGCTGCCTTTAGAAGCAACATTCTGGTTGCAACAGCAAACATCAGCAAAACAGGTCAGTACTGAAGAAGGGTCTGTTGGTGTTAAGATCCCTGTACTTGTCAGCAGCATCCTGATAGCAGGATAGCAACCAGGTCATCGTGCACTCTATGAGCCATTGAAAAACAGAATACAATAAGATAGCCACAATAAGGAAACAAAAAGGCTATTTTCCTAATGTTCCTGAAGACTGAAGTAAGCAAGATTTCAAGGCAAAGTATCACACCATAGCAACTTTTCACTTCTAAAGAGTGTAAAATACCTATGCAAAATGCCATTTTATCATTGCCAATCAACAGAAAAATAGGAAAGACCTCATGAGATGACATCCTTTGCCCTATCATATGCTCGCAATCCTGTTCAGGCTACTTGAACACGAATCTTAGTATTTGTGAGTATGTTTGTGGGTATGAGATTGTGAGTTGGCAGAGCTTACCAACCTAGAAAGTTAAGCAGCATAAAAATTATGTTCCTCTCCTATATAGTCTCACATTAAGGTTTTCTTTGCATTAATTCCTACACAATAAAATTTATTTGAGAACTAAGGACTATCTGTTGGTTCAGCTTTGCACTCCCCATGTGAAGGCCTTTGTACTGAAGCCAGAATTCATCTGCGGTCTTCAGCTCAGACAAATGAAAGCAAGACTTCTGGAATCCAGACATTTATAGGTAACCAACGTGTTTTTCAGTGCCACCTTTTTGTTCCAGTTATCATATGAACAGCCAGAAACTTCTGGAATTACTTAGAGCTGCTCTTATTTGAACCTGGAGTGACTTTAGATTAGAAATAAACAGATTTCAATGTTATAAAACATTTCTTCTGTCTCAGTGAAGGGCAGAGTGAGTGTATACTATATACTGTTTAGACAACACAGAATTTTCTCTGCACAAAAGTGATTCAGAAGAAAAGTGTAAGGGTCTGTATAATACTGGAGATAATTTTCATTTTTCAGAGTAATTTTAATTTACTAAAATCTATTCCAGATATGCTTAAGAATGATGCACCCACAGAATCATGTCTGTCTTGCTTCATTACATAGAACAAAATCTGACCCTTTGCTTTCTCAAAGAATGGTCTGTTACTGGCATTTTATGGTGTGCTGTTAAGACTACACTCTTTTGAAAAGCACAAATGCCTGAGGCAGTAACAACAAACCATCCCTACACTACAACAATATAAACATCTGTAAGCATTTATCTTAATGGTCAGTTGTTTCTTGATGGAGAGGAAATTTTCCCAACATTCATATAAGCAAGCACAAAGAAACAGAATAATACTAAAGCAGATGACTTTTTAGTACCTTGTACAAGTAATTGTTTCTTAGTGGAAAAAAAAAAAAAACCCAAAAGTTTTAAGAATAATGCAGAATAATGCAGTCTTCAGAAAAAAAAAAATCAAAGAAAAAACTAGAGGTTGAACACCCATCTGTTCAGTTAGATGCTAAGTTACTAAGAAGAGCTGCAGACAGAGACAAGAGAGAAGCATCAGCAGTACACAAATATGTACACTGCCTGGTAAAGTAAGTAAACATGAAGTTTTTGCTATAAGCCTGCATTTGAATAATCTTTTAATGCCAGTGTAGAACTGGCATATGGAAAAAGGGAAAAAAGCTTTATTTTCTTTTTTGACAGTCTTAAACTGGAGAGGAAATTATTACTTTGGCCAGATTCTGAAGTGGATGCTATTTATAAAGTATTTCGTAGATAAAAAACAGTGTGTACATGCAACATACTATTCACTACTAATGTGACGTTTCAACTTCCAATTGCTCACTTTAGTGAGGGAAGTGTGGAAATTTTAAGTAACTCTAACCTGTTTAATATCAAAGAAGAAGCTACTTTTTATTATTATTTCAACAACAGACATCGTTACTAATCGGGTAGATAGTGCATCTTCACAAAAACTACACAGAAGGAAGACACCATATTTTGTCCCAACTGTCCAGACACATTATACTTATTATTTTTTGAACATAATGAGTTAAGTCTCTAAATGTTTAAGTATTTTTCATTAATTGCTGTAATTCTAGTCAGATTTTTTTTAAAGAAAGCTTTACAGCATAGGAAGTACAGCACAAGTCTGTGAAAACATATGGCCTTCAAAAAACAAAAAATCACCTCATGTTTTGTGATGGTAGATGGTGATATAAGTATTATCAAATACGTTTATTTGTTCTGCTTTTCCTACACTGCTAGTATAACCAAGCCAGGAAGTCTCAAGGCAAGGCAAAAATGGCTTATGAATTTCACTTAGGGAGCAATACCAATGATCAAAAATAACCTTCGTTCATGCTGGGCAAAACCAGAGTCTTGATATTCACCTTCCAGCTATAGATAAAAGCCGAAGTGCATCTGCATGGGATATGCTTGCTTCTGCATAAAGTTGCAGGACAGACCCCTGCTAGGTTCCTAACACAATTTCTTTTAAATTAAAGCTACTACCATTTCAGTCAGAGACAGAAACCACTTGCCAGACCATTACATGATTTATTCACTGCTGTCCATTTCAAAGCAGGAGAATCTACCTGATTACCTTACTGAATGATGTCCAGAAGTATAGTCCAATTTCCCATACTTCTGTGTGTGGTAGCCATGCTTCTCCATGAGATCCATCCACGTTACATAATCTGGATCTAGACCTTTGAAGTTATTCCAAGATTCTGTTAAATGAGTGAAAAGACCACTCCACATAGCTGGGGTGGGGAGGGGAGAGACAGAGAGAGACGGTTTTTGACAAGTAAGTGGTACTTCCTATCTAAATGTAAGTTGAATATACTTGAGAAGGGATCAATCTTGTCATTATTTTAGAGGTAAAAAGTCCACATTGTGATCCAAGAGAGAAGGGAATACAAAGTATTACCCTTCCAAATCTTATTTTCATCATCAATACGAATAACAGCTTTTACTAAAAGAATCCTCAGAAGAAGGTCCCATTTTTCCAGGTGCTATGCAATCATTAAATCAAGGTTTTCTGTAGATCAGGAAATATTCTTATTGATTGCAGAAAGAAAATGCCATGGTAGTACAGATCCTGATGAAACAGTCATGTATTTACATGTGTTCCAGAGTATTATCTCCCCATACTTCAGTTAGACTTTAATGTGTATTTAAAGTTAAGTATGTTTGTGGAGGGAACTAGAGTGTATTATTTCTATAAATACTATATGCCCTCAGTTTTATCCTTTTTAGGTAATCTGCTTCACTACCAGCTGTAGAAACAAAGCGAGACTATTAAAGAAGAGGCCAAGAAGAAATGAAGCCAAGGGGAGTTGCAAAGGAACTGTAAGGACAGTTTTTATTAGCAAATTCCTGTGTGTCTTTGCAGCTTGTCGAGAATTGTTCACTCTTGCCAATGCTAATTTAGAGTCAAAGGGAACCCTAAAACGAAACCAAGCTGTTCTATAAGCAATAGAAATATCCTGTAAGCACTAACAGTGTGTCAACCTCAACCCCATACCATGGCAATACTCCTACTTTCCCCACCCCAAAGTCCTCCTTCCCACCATATCTTCTAGTATCATCCCTGACACCTCCACAATAGATGTACCCTCAGTTTCTTCCAGGTCTCCAAGCTACTGGCTAAACAAGAGATGTCCTGCTGGTTCAGAGCTACGCTTGTGATGACTGACCAGTGGTCATAATGCTGTTGATGGACCACTAAAATGCTAAACAGAATTCAATAGAATTGTTGAATTCATCATGCAGACTCTTCCTCACTGGGAGCACTAGCTGCTATTTTAACCGAACTTCTTAAAATTAAATAACCTAACACAAGGTTATTGTTCTCAGCAACAAAGACTGGCTGAAAGACTCAAAAATCAGGAAAAAGAAAACAAGACTGATAGCACATTCATGTAATCTCACTCACTTAAAATGTGACCTTTAGAAACAGAAAAGGGGACTAGGTTATCAATAAATGGAATACTAAACACTGACACTAAATTTGACAGCCTGTGCCTGCTGCAGTCAGGACAGGTTGCTTCTTCCAATGTATGCTTGAGAGAAAGGGAGATCTCCCTTTCAGCTATAGATGAAATTTCATTTACATCACCTCTGGAAGGTCTTTGCAACAACTGAAAGGGCTAGAAATGTTTTAGGACGTAACTTTTGATTCAAGACTACTGCTTCCTTCTAACTTCCCAGCAAATTCTGCAAGTGTGAAGATGAACGCAGGACAATGATTGCAGCAAGTAGAGAAAAGTACTGAAGCATTCAATTAAAGCTACTGAAGGATATATTATGCATTTAATGGAGTGTTTGGAATAAATGTCATCAGAAGGCAGCCACCAATTTATTCAGCTGTCATTATTTAATACTTTTTTCCTGAGAACAGGAAAGGAATTTATTAACTCTTTATTGGGAATGGAGAGCAGTTCTGAATGCAGCTTTGGCACTGCAGTAGACAAACTGACAATTTCTCTGCAAATCCTGAAGATTTTTAAAAAATACTGAAGCTTCAGTGGAGTTTGCAAAAAGATTTGGGAGCTCACACATAGCTGGAAGAAGGGGAGTAAAAAAAAGAAAGGAAGAAGCATGAGAAACAGATCAAACTTGAGAATACTGTATAAACCCAGACACAAACTAAAAAAAGTGGGTCTTACTGAAAAACAAAGCAAATTCCCCCAAATTCAATCCTTTGAAATTTCCCGTCAATACCACATATTTAAATTGACATATACAAGCATTTATCGGATGTTTTGCTTGGTCCTACCTGCACGGGAAGGACAACAAATTGGAGAATTGGTATAGGCATTGAGAAAGACAGTGCCATATCTTTTCATAAAATTTATGAAAGGCAAATCCACAGTCTGATTTCCTGGGTAAAATGTCAAGCGTCCGTCCTGGAATCAAACAGAAAAAAGCCAGTATGTAAATGGCATTAACCCAAATGATTGGCTGCATTAATTCATAGATTTGTTACCTCGAACTTGTATTACTCAAATGTTGCCAATTCTACTCAGGTATGGAAAATAAAGTGTTGAGAAGCTTTAATTAGATCATTATAAAATGGATTACTTATGAAAAAGTGTAAAGATGACTGGACTTCTTCATAGTAAAATTACTTCCTTTCTATTGCTATACATATTCTAAGCTCCAGTTCTTGCAGGACTAGGGACCTACCATGACACATTCAACAGGGACAGGTATGGTGAAAGATGAAAAGGAGTCAGTCTGAAACCTGATGCAGATGTGTGCATTGATACATATTTCTGTGAAACCAAAACTGATCCCTCATCCTTCTCCTCTTTTTAAAAGTTTATCCACACCACATCTCTGTGAACTTATTTTAAACTATGGACTGGAAAAGCGATCAGCAAGCTGAAGGAAGGCTATTCTCCCACTGAAATGCCATTTGCAATGGTTCCCTTTTGATACTTCATTGATTCTTCATTTACCTATTTCTTTAGCTACAGTTTTTAACCAGTAATTTAAAAAAGACCCAAGATTTTGAATTGGTACTTTTACTGTACAAAACTATGACAGCGTGAAACCAGGTTTCATGTAGACTTCCCTGTTTCAGGTCACTGTCTTTTCCTGTCACTTGCATGTCTTTCCTTGGTTTAGTAAGATGTCTCAACTCAGCCCCAGCCTTACTCGTTGGCTATTTGGTAAAGAGACTGTTCACAGTGAATCTGCACAGTTTTAATAGATCCCCCGATCAGAGACGTTACTCAGATGTAGACATCTGAGTAACCCTCCTCTAGATTTGTGACAGAAGCGCAAACACCTTAAAGCATGGGTAGCTTAGAAGTTGTGTTTTGCACAGCATTTAGCTTGCAAGAGCACATAAGTACGCAGACAAGAAGGCCAGGAAAGTTTCTCAAACTCCAGTTACAAATTCACCAGCTACTGGCTCATTTGTTCCAAAGACAATGTACAAATTACCACATCAGCCTCTGCATAATAAATGCCAGGATGCAAATTCTTACCTCTAATCCATATATGGGCAATGGACCACCCTACCGAGTTACTTTAAATTATTTTTATTAAGTGAGAGTAGTTTCTATATGAGAAACCACAACAAAACAGCTGGTGCGTGATTGCTTGTAACCATGCAGTAACTTCTATGTATCCATACGCAGCCTATCAGCATCAGCAGCCTACAAAAAATGCTTTCCAGATCATACATTGAGCAAGCCTCATTTGGCACAATGGGTTCTTGGTGTCTGCTGAAGCTAACAGTCATCATTACATGGCATTAAGTACAAAATTCCACTGTGACTTTTACTGTAATTTTTTTGTTAGGTGAGAAATTGTGAAAACAATTATTTAGTGAGATATTACCTCTTCAATAGAAAGTATTCAACTGAACAACCACTTTGCTCCTACTGAATCATAACCAAAAATCAGCAGATATGACCAACAGTGAATCACAGGAGTTACCTTCTCTTAATACTGAATAGGTAGTTTTATTCAACTAATAAAAACTCCATGACTGCTTCAGATGGAGACCTCCGATCATCTACTTCAAAATGTTAAGAACATGTACAGTTCCAGGGATGCAGGACCAAGGCCTTACCTTCTGTGAAATTTCACCTTTAAATAATGGTACATTTGAAAAAGATACAAACACTTCTTAGGCATCTGAGTCACAATGAAAATTCCAAAGGCTAACAGAAAAATGCTATTAGCTTACAAGAAAACAGGTAGATGGATGCATGGGTTCTGAGACCTACCAGCCTCTACAGTTTTCAATTAAGAAAATGCATTTTTTTAAAAGACTGTATTTGTTTTGAAAATAACTGTTTGAAACAAACATTGTATTTAACATAATATTCTCCTATATGAAACACCAGGCAAGCTCACGTGGGAAGAACAATAGTTTCTTTCTGTCTTCAGCATTTAAGAATACAGATCAGACAACGTAAGACTTCCTATCAATTTCATACTATGCTGTTTCTGCACATTACCAGATGTGTTTCTGAATTTTCACTTTAGTTTTACCAGTTTAATTTTCTGGAATAATTTGTAAGAGGACAAAAAAAAAAACAACATCAAAGATAAGCGAGAGCAAACCTGAAAAATTTACAGGCTGTTACTACTGCTTCCATTACCCATAATTCCCCAGTGGTAGGCACTAATCATCCAAGTGAAAATTTACAAAGAATACTGCACATAATCAGATTTTGCAATGTTTCAGAAAGAACCCAGAAAACAGAGTTAAGCACAGCATAATTGTGCTCCCCAGTAGGAAATAACTCCTATAAATTACTGAAGTATTTTAAGATTAGAATTTTTCTGTCATTGTTTAAAATATTTTAACCTTACAGCATGAGCACTTCATTACTTCACTAGCCACCCAGCCATTGCTAATATACTAAGTCCACAGTCAAAGACTAATGTAATTTTCTTCACTCTTTAGAGTTCAACACAGAGACTGCATGCAGAAGAAAACAATTCCCTCCATTTGTTTTCTGGCAGAAAATGCTATTCGATAACATGGCGCTGTAGAGAGAATCACTTCATTTGGCACCAGGAGAGTGAACTGTGGCATCCCAGCACCATGTTGCAATGGACGACTACACAGTAAACCGGGACACTGGAGATCAGAATATGATAAAAGATTGGTCACCTAATTTTGTACACTACTACAAGTGGCAACTAGAACAAGCATTCAGTAGGACAAACTGCAAATAAAGCTGTAATCTGCAATATGAACTTGAAAGGAACTTTGGGCTGAAAGTGCTCTTTAGAAAGTACATGACTGATGTGTCATTCTGTCAACATATTCACAAGTTTCTCCAAGATATTGTTTGAACACCTGGAGACAAGAGTTCATTCTTTCGACACTGGACAGACAGGCGACATGTCTACTCAGTGAAAGAAGTAAGCTTCTTTAACAGGCTGAGAAGGTGAAAGCTTTACAGCTATTTCTGGAAATCTGCTCTCCTAGAACTGTGTAGGACTTGCAGGTTTTGAAGTACCTGAAGCAATACAATTGTTCTGAGTAACACAAGCAAGCACATTTCATCCAGGAACTTGAGCTGCATTGCAAGCAAAGCCTGTCATCACTCAGTTAACCTCAAGTAGTAGTTTAGGATCTGAATTACCTATAAGCACATTCCATCAGCAAGTCCTGTGAGAAGCACAGCGCTTGATGTGACACAACAGCATGAAGTCACTGCTCTGGAGGCCAAACACAGTCCAGCATCACTGAGAAGAAAATTTTTGTCATGCTTGACAAAACAGGTGTAAGTCTTTTGTAGAGAGCATCACCCACAACAAAGGCAGGCCCACTTTCAAATGAAAGCCCATACCTTTTGGCAGCCTGCAGGACTTAAGCTTTTTTCCCCAGGAAAACTGTTAGTTTCAACAGTACCAAACTCTTCCTGTTCTCTACCAGTGATATAATCAAAATGGTTAATCTATTTCTGCCTTCAAATCCATCTCATAAAAAACTTATGCCACACAATGATTCTTTTAACATATTCTTCTTCATACACACTACACAAATACAATACTTTTCAGAAACAGCACCTTGTTCTTAATTGTTTTTGTAAAAAACATCACAAACATCTGGGGGTTTGTCTTTCATTTTTCATAGAATCATAGAATCATTAAGGTTGGAAAAGACCCTTAAGATCATCGAGTCCAACCGTCAACCTTATCACTGCCAAGTCCATCTATACCATGTCTTCAAGCACCACATCTATCCGTTCTTTAAATACCTCCAGGGATGGAGACTCAACCACTTCCCTGGGCAGCCTGTTCCAATGCTTGACCACCCCCTCGGTGAAGAAGTTTTTCCTAATATCCAACCTAAACCTCCCCTGGTGCAGCTTGAGGCCGTTTCCTCTCGTCCTATCACTCGTTACTTGGGAGAAGAGACCAACCCCCACCTCGCTACAACCTCCTTTCAGGCAGTTGTAGAGGGCAATAAGGTCTCCCCTCAGCCTCCTCTTCTTCAGGCTAAACAAGCCCAGCTCCCTCAGCCGCTCCTCGTATGACCTGAGCTCCAGACCCTTCCCCAACTTCATTGCCCTTCTCTGGACACGCTCCAGCATGTCCATGTCCTTCTTGTAGTGAGGGGCCCAAAACTGAACACAGTACTCGAGGTGAGGCCTCACCAGTGCCGAGTACAGGGGCACTATCACCTCCCTGCTCCTGCCGGCCACACTATTCCTGATACAAGCCAGGATGTCATCGGCCCTCTTGGCCACCTGAGCACACTGCTGGCTCATGGTCAGGTGGCTGTCAACCAACACCCCCAGGTCCTTTTCTGCCAGACAGCTCTCCAGCCACTCCTCCCCCCTTTTGTAAGGGTTACGTCACTAATCCCCATAAGATAGACATGAGAATCTTCTTGTTTACAGGATGACATACAGAAGCCTTACTAAGATTTGTCTACAGCTTCTGCCAGCATCTGGAGACAAACTGGCCATTGATGAATGAAACTATTACAAATTTGGTATCTTATCGGTAAATAATAGTTTTAGTAAAAGCTGAAAATTTGGAGAAAAATTCTTATCTACAAAAAACATACATTACTTTGGAATGTTAAGAGAGATGATATTCTCAAAATAAAATAAAAATAAACAAAGAATAGAGTCAGAGGAAGGAAAGTAAATACGGAGCTATTGCTTTATCTTTGAAATCATAGCAAATATGTGTTTTAAGAAAGGATCTGAAGAAGAATAATACATGTTTACCAAATACTTAGGAAGAATTTATCCCAAGAATGACAGGCAGCAGGCAAAAAGTCAAGTGCTCTTACCTGTGCAGTCAGGCATGGTATTCAGAGATGGCTGGAAGCCAAGTGTTGATTTCTCAACAGTGAATGAGAAGTGATGAGATGTGAAAGTCCTTGGAAGTAATACCATGGAGCTTATGTTTGATTTAACAGAAAGGAGAGCTCAGATGAAGCAGAGAAATTAAGGCTTTCCCTTTCCTCAAAGTAAAACCTTAATAGAAGCATTTCCAGTTATGCTGAGTGGGCAGGTAGAAGCATGGTGAGAAAAGGGCACTAAATGTGCTATCTTTAACTGTAAGCAAGGAAATATGCTTACTATTTGTGAATGGAAAAAAAAATCTTTTCTACCTGTCTGGGGGTTAAAACAAATGTATCAATAAATCACTGTAATAAAGCCACTAGAAATTTATAAAAACATACCTACTGGTTCCTTTATCCTTTTAGCTGTAGATACTCATCTGACAAGTTTATTGTAATATTTGTTATACCCAATAAAAGTCTGAGCAAGTCAATATATGATGCTCAACAGCTTAACTCACTCATTTCATCTGTAATTACAGAAATTCTCCATTTCATCTGTTCTGGAGACCTAACGTTCTTAGGATTTACAACGGCAATAATAACAGGGTCTAGTGACCTTCCTTTCCTTTTTGCTTTTCAAGCCAAAAGCAAAGCATTCATTTTATGCACCAGGTCTGTTCTATTAATTGCTGCCCAGCACCACAGTCCTGCTGACATGCCCCCGTCCACCGTTAAGTTGTGGTGACAAGCCGTATGTGCCACAGCTGACCGCGGCAACCACCTATGCAGAAGTTTCGGATTATTGTCATGCACCTGATGAAAACCTGTAGCACGCCCCTGGGAAGAATGACGAGTTTGGTTTAGGTAACAAGAGCTACCCCGTGGCGGGAGGCCTGCCCTCATCGTCCCGAGCAAGCCTTCCACCTCGTGGAGGTGGTGGAGTATAAAACCAGCCCTACTTTCGCAGGTCTGCGGTTGTAGCCCGGGCAAAGCCACGGAAAACCCTCGCTGCCGCATCCTCGGAGGCCGCAGTCAGGG